TTGGGTTTGTGGATGGCATTGGCCAGGGCTCTGGATTCAAATTCTTCCATGAACAGGTTTGCAATGATGGGTGACAGTGGTGATCCCATAGGGGCTCCTTCAATTTGTTTGTATCTTTGTCCTTTGTATATGAAATATGTGTTGGTTAAGCAGTGTTCTGTTAGTTCCATGAGGTGTTTAGCTGGTTGGTATTTATTTTTGATGATTTCAAGGGTCTCTTTTATCGGGACTTGAGTGAATAGTGAAACCACGTCAAAACTTACAAGCAGATCTTCTTGCTCCACATGTAGATCTTTGATCATTTCCAAGAAGTGGTATGAGTTTTGTATATGTGAAGCTGGGGCTGTAGCTGTTTTGCTAAGTATTTGGCTAGGTTTTGTAGTGGTGCTCCTCTGGAGCTGACTATGGGTCTGAGAGGTATGCCTTCTTTGTGTAATTTTGGGAGGCCATATAGTTTGGGGTATCTGGAAGATTTTTCTCTTGGGATGATTGTCTGTTGGATCTCTTTGCTCATGTGGCTGGTTATAATTTTCTTCTTAGTTAATTTTTCCAGGTATGTGGTTGGGTCTGTGTTTATGGGTTTGTATGTGGAGTCTTGGAGTAGGTCTGTCAATTTTGTTTCATAGTCTTTTCTGTCCATTACTACTGTGGAACAAAATTGAGTTTCTAGTTTCCTTAGCACTATGGTACACAGTTGCCCCTGCAGGTTTTGAAGAAACTCATCATCCTCTTTCAAAAGGCTCCTTAGAAAACCCTACATTTTATTGCACAAAAGGTTCATTCAAAATACTCAAAACCATTTTGGTATCAGACTAGAGAAAGACCTAATAATGCTGTCCATATGTGCTGGGTTATAATTTTCATCAGGCTGGGCCATAAACCTCTTATAACTTCCAATGCATCTGGAGGATATTAGTTGAGGGGAAAACTGTTCTAAGAAAGAGTGGCATATGTAAGACCTGCTGATATTCTCTGCAATTTATTAAATAAATGTAATGGGTATTTTCTATATTTTTTTGAACTCTAATACTTATCGACATGTAGGAACTTTTATGTATGGAATGAGGTCTGGATAAAAAGACTGGACTTGCCCAGTGACTTTGATGGATGGCAGGCAATTGATGCCACACCTCAGGAAACAAGCCAAGGTAGAACTCTAGATACATGCACAAGCAAATGAAAAGTTAACATTTAGTTATATTTAAAATCTACTAAGTTTGTCCTCTCACAATTCATCTACTTTATGCCACATGCATGCATAACACTCTGGATAAATTGTGCATATTTTACTTATATGCATGAAATGTGCTCTTAACTTTAGCTTTACAGATAACCATAAAATGAAACTATGGAAGGATTGTGCCATAATGAATGAGGCAAAACAGATCTAAGTGACTTGGTCCCCATGGGGAAAAAAAAATCAGAAATGTAACTTTAGATCTGAGGAGTGAAGAATGTGAAGCATCTGAACATCATTCATGCTGACTTGGACTGCTGGGAGTTGCACTTTAGCATCAGTTGTGTAGAGCCCACTGTAATTGGTCCTCACTTAATGGCCAGTTGTTTAGCAAATGTTCTAATTTATGACTGGCCTCCCCACAGCTACTTGACCTGTTTTTGGAGTTTTGACAGCCATGCACACACATACTCCCTTCTAACCCTTCTGGAGCAGGTCATTGGACTAGAATTGGCAAAGCATCTCTGATTAGATTCTAGTAGTGAATAGAATCTAATCAGAGATGCTTTGCCAATTCTTGTTGATTTGTTTTATTTGTATTTCTTTATTTTATGTTGCTGAATTGCATTGACTTGTGTGTCCCTTCTTGTGCATAGCCCAGAAACCTTTGAGATTCTTTGCAGCAAAAATTACTTTGTTCTACTTTTCAAATGTGCTGCCACTGCTGCATTTTAGGTGCCGGCCCCGCAGGTCCACCCCATTGGGCCCGCTGCACCAGAGGGACCTGCCCAAGTAAGTCCGAGCGGAGCGGTGCACCAAGTCAAAGGGGTGAGCCTGAGAGAGGGAAAGAGAGATAGAGAAAAGAAAAAGAGAGAGAAAGAGAATGAAAAGGGAAAGAAAGAAAAGGGGACAAAGAAAGAGGGGGGGGGGGGAATGGAAGGGACAGAAAGAAAAAGAAATAAAGGAGGGAGGAGAAAGATAATGAGATATCTATTCTAGTCCAATCACCTGCTCCCGCAGGGTTAGAAGGGAGAGTGTGTGTGTGCGTGTGTGTGTTCTCCTTGTAATTTACCAGTATATTTTGGTTTTGCCTTCTTCAGAATTGGCACTGTTAATACATTGGGAAAAGTAATTTTTTAGGGTTGAGGTCTGGTCCAATGGATCCTGTTTAAAGCCTCAACAAAATGTGAGAGCTTCCTGATAGTCCTGATCATTTTTCATCCACAAAACCTTTAATAGAAGCCAAAGATGTTTTAATGTGCTAGCAAAGATGTTTCAGTGTGGAAAAGGGCCTCAGTCTAAACTAGGCCTCATTTCAATCGAATGTATCAGGTCTCTCTCTCTCTCCCTCCCTCCCTCCCTCCCAGACTGGCTTTGTTCTACTTTCCCAATGTGCCTGCGAGGCTGGTGCCTTGAACATGGATGGATGGATGGATAGATAGAGAGACAGATAGGTAGGTAGGAAGGTAGATAGATATATTGATAGATAAGTAGGCAGGCAGGCAGGCAGGCAGGCAGACCTTTTGGATTGATGGATGGATGGATAGATATACTGGTAGATAGATAGGTAGGTAGGTAGACAGACAGAAAGACAGACAGGTAGGCAGGGGAAGGGGGGCTTTGACCACATGCCCAATATCCAGGATCCCTCTCAGCCAAGCCCATCCCCCTTTTAGTTGCCATGCCTGACAGAAAGTTCACAGGCTGCCCCTCCTGCCAGGGATCAGCCTCCCAAACTCCCCCCCTCCTGGGGCACTCACGTTGTAGAGGGCTGTGCTGTTCCCTCCTTCTTGGAGCCAGTACAGGGCAGGATTGAGGAAGCCCAGGTAGGCAGCAGTGGCACATTGGGAAAGTAGAACTTTCTGATTTGCCTGTGGGGGCGGTGCCTTGCAGCGGCAAACACCATCACTCTGCTAAACAAACAATTCCCACAACACTGCCCAACTATTTACTAAGTCTGCATTACTATCACTATTAATCTTCTCATCCTATCACCCATCCCCTCCCGCTTGTGACTATATGACTGTAACTGTTTTGCTTGTATCCTTATGATTTATATTGACTGTTTCCTAGTATGATTTGATTGCCTATTTACACCCTATGACTCTATTAAGTGTTGTATCTTATGACTCTTGATGAATGTATCTTTTCTTTTTATGTACACTGAGAGCATATGCACCAAGACAAATTCCTTGTGTGTTTAATCACACTTGGTCAACAAAGAATTCATTCATTCATTCATATTGACAACACAATATTCTCTGCAATAGATGATTGACTAGCTACATGGGTTATTAAAATAGAGTTGAATTTATCTTTGCTGTATACTGCAAGACTTGTTTGCATCAGCTGTTGAAAAACTGATATTTATTATTCAATCAAATTAAAAAAGATTTGGAAAAATGGGGGACTTTACAATTATCATTATTAGGAAGAATAGCAACTATAAAAACGAATGTCCTGCCAAAGATTTTATATTTATTTCAAACAACTCCAACAAAATTAGATAAGAATTTTTTTAGAGAACTTAATAGAATAATCACAAAATTTGTTTGGGCAGGCAAAAAAGCCCGAATAAAGTTAAAAGATTTACAAGATAGTAAGAGTAGAGATGACCTTGGGCTTCCAGATTGGGAACTATACCATAAGGCAGCAATACATGTATGGATACGAGATTGGATCAATCTAAGGAAAAAAAGAATATTAACCATAGAAGGGCATGACATACAAAGAGGATTGGCATGCCTTCCTGTGGGACAAAGAAAGCAAACCCTATCTATACATTTATAGACATAAAATAAGAAATGTGCTGATACAATCATGGAAACAAATAAAGAATAAATATTATTTGAAAATTCCAAACTGGGTATCTCCCTTGGATGCAGTAATTCACCCCAATATAATGGAGGTTAAGAAAACGACTAGGTATAGGGAAATTTTAGATGACCAAGGGAACTTAAAAGAGCAGAGAGAAATTGGAAGAGCAGGGAATAAAACTAGATTGGTAGACCTATATGCAAATTCAAACAAGATATATAAAAGACAGTGAGGAATCTGGAATAATGAAATACAAAAACTAGATAAAATCTTGATTGGCCCAGACGAGATATTATTATCAAAGTTATATAAACATTTATTAGAATTTGAAAGAGCGGAAGAAATTGTGAAAGGAACGATGATTGATGGGGTAGGAACGTTGGACATACTATTGATCTGGAAGAATGGGAAAAGATTTGGAATGTGAATTATAAAATAACAAAATAGGCGGCATGTAAGGAAAACCAACATAAAATGTTCTATCGTTGGCATTTGGCACCTTCAAGACTGGCTAAGATTTACCCAAACTTAAAACCAAATTGTTGGAAGTGCGGACAACAAGGTACCTTCTTTCATTCTTGGTGGACATGCCCCAAAGCGAAAAAATACTGGAAAATGATTCAAATGTAGTTAGAAGAGTTAACTAAAAACAAAATTGATTTTGTCCCAGAATTATTCCTCTTAGGAATAATAAAAAATTAAAATAGAAAGATAAAATACATTCTACATTACATATATTAACAGCAGCAAGATTTTCATATGCTCAGTACTGGAAGGAAAACTATACCACCTGAAGGCTTAATAATCAAAAATTTTTTAGAGTGTGTGGAAATGGATAAATTAACTATGGAATTAAAAGGGAAAACAGACACAGAATACAACACAGTTTGAGAAACATGGTTTATTTGGATAGATAATAGATATAAAAATAGAAAATGTAAATAATGTATATATAATAAATAAGAGGGTATGAAAGTATTATGCATTGTAGGCTTTGATAGGACATATAAATGTATAATGTCACAGCGCTGTTTAATAACTATTGGTATTATGTATAAATGGGAAAAATTCAATAAAGCATTATTTAAAAAAAACCCAGATTGTGCTGCGTATTATGCTTTCAGTAACAGAGACCCTGTTTTCCTTATCAGGAATTGTCAGACATATGTAACCAAATATGCTTCTCTAAGAGGGAAGTGGAAGTCAAGTAAAACCCAAATAAGATGATAGATGATAGAGATAGATGGATAGATAGACAGACAGACAGACAGACGGCATGACATAATGTAGCATCTGGGTTTCTCTGTTCCAACAGCCAATCAGAAGCCAGATGTGTGGATAGTCCATGTGAAAGAAGTAAAAGCTTAAATATGATGGATTTTTAAACTCATTTGACCTCCAGTCACTGCAAGGACTTTGACTGCATAAAATTATATGAAGGGAGAAAACAGTTTAGATAGTAATTGAGTTCTAAAATATCCTTACAGAACAATCATTTTAAAGGGACTGCAAGCACTAAACATGAGCAGACAAATATGAGATGAAAAAGACAATCCTTTAATAAGTACCATTAATCTGGAATACAGAAAATAAGATACAAAAGAGCAAACAATAGAACACAAACATTTGTAAATGCTTACATTCTTTAATTGTATAGGATTGGCCAGTGTGCAGCCCTACAACTGTTCATGAACATACAAAATATTTATTTTCCCACATGCTAATTCCCAGCCCACTGTTAATAGTCAAATTATTTGAATTATAGCACCTTTTGGCTTTCTTAGCATCCAGAACAACTGCATGTCTTGTTAAAACACACAGTTGCTTTGAACATAAAAGACTAACTGGTTGCATAATGTCATGGCTAAGGGGTGAGATGAAAAACAAAAGAGCACTTGTTCCTTCTATATTATCAGAACCTAAAGTTTCTGCTTGTGCAAATACATATATATTTAATGCCAGATGAGGTCTGTGCATGCCAAAACAGAGCTTTGGAGGGGTGTGCCTGCCCCTCCAAAGCTCCATTTCAGGCTGCAAAGTGTGGGATAAGGCCTGAACCCACCAAAATGGAGCTCCGGAGGGGTGCCCCCGCCCCCCAAAGCTCTGTTTTGCACAGCAAAGTGCCAGACGACATAATGCCAACATTCATTTAAGGAAGGTCATCAAACAAAATTATTTGGTTAATAGCAGATAAATTTTAATATGGTAGAAAACATTTGATCACAGCTGATAACATAAAAGCATTATGAAACAGACTGGATCCAAATAAGGCACTTATTTAATGTAGAAGAGTCCTTTAAAATTATTCCAGTAAAACCTCAGTAAGTATCGTTCCTCACTTTTTAATGCCATTTCCTTCCTTTTTTTCTATGAGATACAAAGAGCTTGAAAATAAACAGAGTATAACTAACATGTAGAAATGTATGTCTGTGGAGATTCTCAATCATCCAGATTCTCAATCATCATTATTTTCCCCAAAGATGCTTTTCTAAAAGGCAACTTTTAGAAAACTGGACTTTCTTGATTATTTTTCCTTGAAAATGTTTCGCTTCTCATTCAAGATGCTTCTTCAATTCTGACTGAATGGTGCAGAAGGAAAGAAATGACCAGATAACAACAAAGAATATAAATCCTTTCATCCCCCATCATTCAGTCAGAACTAAAAAGCTTATTGGATGGGAAGCAAAAGGTTTTCAAGAAAAAACTTAACATAGTCCAGTTGGAAAAACAGTTTGGGACATATAGAAATGTACAAATGTACAAATACAGAAAATCTATGACCACATTTCTCTCAACTAAATGCTATCTCAAGTGAGAAGTAGCATAAGGCAGGTTTCTGTGTTAGATTATAAAAGAATATAGATTATAAAAGAGCACCAAATATTGAAATAAAATATTGAGCCCCTTAGGGATTTGCATTCATTATTTCTAACTGTAATAGAATCTTCTCTTATATTGTGATTCATTGGTCTCCCTTCCCAGAGATAATCCTCACTGCCAAATCACAAACGTTTTGCAGCACTGTTGTTCCTAGAGCTGAAATCAGTCTTGAAATATCTCCAACAAAAAAGTCCATGGCACTTTTATTTATAATATATTGTATCAATAAATACTGAAGTTAATTGGTCTGTTTTTACTTTGTAAAGAAATTTACCCATGGACTTGCCTTGTCATCAATCAAATCCATGCAGTAAGACAACTAACTGCTGAAAATTTCTATGTTCTCTTTCTCAATCATATACAAGTGCACACTTCAGGGACACATGCATGAGCTTCCAATTATGTACAGTAGAGGAGAATCCCTATTTATAATTCATAGTATTTCAGATGAAGAGTTTTAAGGATTGCATGAACAAATCACACAGCTGCTAAAATGAGACCATTTGGACATTTGTAAATAAACTATCTAATGATCTCTTTCAAAACAATGGAAGATTGATAATGCAATTTAGCTTTTGTATCTAATTGTCTAACTAGGTCTTATAATTGCCCCATCTCAAGCTTTTCTGATGTAACCAATATAAGTTAGCTGAAAAGCAGTCATTATGTATAAATTTTGTAGCTCTCCTTGCAATAGAATTATCATTTGTTGTTACAAACAGTAATTTAGAGCACATAAATATCTCCTGAAGAGACTACTTAAAATGATCACATTGAACTTCAACAGGAATTTTATGGATCAGAATTATATTCCTGAACTTAGATTTTGGCCAGTCATTAAATCTTGAGAAAACATACTCCTCATATCTAAATTGGTTAAACCAACTTTGGCAATTTTCTCCTAAACAGCATTCTTATTGCACATTTTTAGAAGCTGTCCTCTCACAATGATAGGTTAATTTTTCTGTAATAAAGTACAGTTATTTAAGTATAATTAATTCATCACCAATTAAATGTGTAGGAAACTAGTTGTATTATTTTTGCTTAGAGAGATCCTTAGCTAGAAGACAATTCCATGGTTTCATACATCAGTGCTACCTTAAAGCTAACTGTCAAGTACACAAATATTGAAAGAACAAACATTTGTAAAGATACTTTATATTAATCACTTAATACTTCCACAACCATCATTGGATCATAAAGTGGTTCAAAGGCTTCTTGCACAGCCATCTCCGATGGAGCAACTGTTGCAGTCCCAGCTGGTGGAGCCTTCTTGCAATTCAGGTTTGAAAAGGGACTGAACCATCGCAGTGAAAAATTACCCCCGAAAGCCAGTTTCATCCCTTCCCAGCCGCTGGCTTTTTCCCAGGTTGGCTGCTCTTTTTTAAGCCGTTCTATGCCCTGCAGAAGACAAAACAGTTTACATTTATTCATTAAAGGCACATGGAACACTGTTATAACATGCTGATGGATAATAGTCTAATTAATTTAAGGAATTTTCTGAATGTAAATAGAAAAAACCTTCAAAAGAAAAAATATAAGTCTACAACATTCTGCAGCCATTAATAAGAAACTAAAGAGTATCATATCAGAAAAATATTGGAAGATATTCATCTGCAATTAGTGAAGAAATTATATACTTTACCATATTTTGGATTAACAGATGCCAAATTGAAATCTGCTGAATATCACCCAGAATTTGTAGCTATATCTCAGAATTTTTCTGATTAGAGTTACATAAGTTTCATTCCGGAACATAAAGGCTAATAATTTTGTGCATACTTTATTCTTTGCTTTTTTTTCTTAGAATCACTTGTGTTCATTCAACACAAGACTTTTATAATACAATTGCTATGCTTTCTTAATGGAATTGTACAAGGGCTCAGTTATACCATCTTTAACTTCTAAACCTCCCATTCCAGCCAACCACCTTTTCTTCACACAGAATATCCATTGGAAGAAAGACAGAAGAATTGGCCCTTGGGTTTGATCTCTAGAGTTCTCATCTGAAAATGCCTTGAATACAGTTAGCTCAATTTTTTAAACAACCTAGCAATAATAATGGGTAACAGATTGCAAATTAAAAAACAGCAGTTCTGAAGATACCTTTTTAGATTAACTATGGATCTTATATAATTATTAATTTGCTTAAGAAATCTTTGCTCACATGTGACAACAGAAGGAATACATTTTAACTGCATGAAGTTTTCATTAAAAAATATGAATAGGAGGGAAAAAATTACAAGTAAGATAAAAAATATTTAAAGAAATTAAATATGGAATTCATTTTAAGTATTTAATCAACTAAATGTAACAGTTCCAGTAACTTTTAACTAAGGAGAAGTTTTCATAAAAGTATAGTCAACAAAACATCATTTCAGAATTAGCAAGCTGAAGAGAGGTAATGTCTATGAGACAAGATCTCATATATAGTTTAAATTTGCATATACAGCCAATCCTATGTTCTCTTCTGAACATTCAGAAAACGTCAATAAACAAAAATTCTTTGCACATACTAATATGTTATGTCTCACCTGTGCCCACGAGGTGAGAGTCCAAGTTTCCAAAGGAATATAAACAAGCAGACAAGACCAGTAACGACAGGGTTAAATTCCTTTGGCTGGAGAAGTCCTTGGCAGTCTCCCACAAGCTGCCTGCCAAGTCCGATAATAAAGCAAGAACATAAATCACAGGCAAATGCCATACACAGAACTTGTCGAAGCTTCTATCCCAAATTAACAAATTGTCCCGAACAAGAATCCAGAGCTAACATGCCCACTTTTATTCCCTGAGGGGCGTGTCAGTCTCTCATCTCAGTCCCTGATTTGTCCTTTCCTACTACATTGCATCTCACGCCTATGCCTGCGTCTTTGCCTCACATCAAACCAACATTCCTCAGTTTGATCCTCAGCCAGAGGCTCCGCTACACTCTCCTGATTATCTGCCGACACCTGAGGCACAACCAGGGAGGAAGGTCCTGGGGAGGAAGGCAATTCCAAATCCTCCAGCAAAGCAGGCTCAAACCGAAGAGCCAAATCCTCCTCTTCCTCATGGCTCAAGTCTGTGTCCTGCAGCAAAGCAGGCTCAAACCTCAAGGCCAAATCCTCCTCTTCCTCATTGCTCAAGTCTGTGTCTTCTAACAAAGCAGGCTCAAACCTCCGAGTCACAACACTATCCCTCACCACAGGGCCCTTCCCCCGAGTCTGACAATCAGGATGTGGTTTCAATGGAAACTGTTCATGGAATCTCCGGATAAGGTCTGAGGCGTGAACTGTGGAAGCATCCACCCAGGAAAGAGCCTCCGATCCATCCCCCAGCTTCTCGACCAAGTATTGAAATCATCCTTTCAGCCAGTGAGAATCCCGAATGCTGACCACCGTGTCATTAGCAGCGGGATCATCGCCGGGTACAGATGGAGAAACCGTACCAGTGGGGGAACGGAGAGCACATGATGGGGCATCAGGAACCAGAACAGATCGGTGGAAGACAGGATGAATGCGCATGGAGCGCGGTAGGGTGAGCCAATAAGCAACGGGATTGGTGACCGCCTCGATAGGGAAGGGACCGATGAAGTGATGGTCCAACTTCTTGACTGGACGGTCGACCCAAAGATGCTTCGTGGATAACCACATCCTGTCTCCAACAGCCAGAGGAGGAGTTGCCTGACGCGAACGATCCGCAAACCTTTTGTAGTCTGCCTTAGCCCATTCCAATTGCTGTGAAACCAATTGGTGAACCGAATGCAGTTCTGACAAAAAGTCCTGCGTCTCGGGAACCGCGGAATCCAAGATCGACAATGGGAAATACTTCGGATGGAAACCCACATTCGCGTAAAAAGGTGTCATGTGAGTGGAGGTGTGCTGAGAGTTATTGAAGGCAAACTCCGCCAAAGGGAGGTAAGTCACCCAATCATTTTGTCAGTGGTTAACAAAACATCGTAAATATTGGGCGAGGATGCCAATCACCTTCTCCGTCCCACCATCAGTCTCCGGATGGTGCGCCGACGCCAAGCACACCTGCACCTGCAACGTGGTCATCAGGCTCTTCCAAAATTGCACGGTAAACTGGACACTGTGATCCGAAACCACCCTATCCGGAAGACCATGCAGAGGGAAGACGTGTTACAAAAATAACTGGGCAGTAGTACGAGCCGACGGTAACCTCCGACAGGGGATGAAGTGAGCCATCTTAGTTAACTTGTCAACCACCATGAGCACCATCGTATACCCCGAAGAAGAGGGCAAATATGTTAAAAAGTCCATGGAAATTGCCCCCCCATGGTCTGTCCAGAGTCGACAGTGGTTGAAGGAGACCAGGAGGTGCACCCGTCATGGCTTTCGCTTGCCGGCATGGTACACAGGACACGACATAGGCGTAGACATCATGTCGGACTCGAGGCCACCAAAAAGTCCATGTGACAAGATGAAGGGTCTTAAAAAATCCAAAATGGCCAGCAACAGGGTTGTCATGACATTGAGTCATGATGAGGGCTCTAAGTGTCCTTGTGGACACGTACAATCGGCCCCGATGTCGTAGTAAGCCCTCCTCCAGTGTCCATGGGGAGTCAGGTCCAATTTCCCCCATTCTCTGCTGCGACCAAGCATCTAAGCGCTGCGCCGCTTGTATCTAAGTCCGCAAATCCACCGGTTCCTGGATAACGGCCAAAGATTCTGGTAGCAGCACCGTATGTGGAGGAAGAGGGTCCTCAGGACAAAGGTACTCAGGTTTACATGACAGGGCATCTGCTCTCTGATTTTGACCACTGGGGATATAAGTCACAAAAAAGTTGAACCAAGCAAAGAACAACGACCACCGAATCTGTTGCTGGTTCAACTTCCTCGCAGTGGACAAGTGCTCCAAATTACGATGATCCGTCCAAACCTCCACCTTGTGCCGAGCCCCCTCAAGGTGATGTCGCCAGGTCTCAAACGTAGCCTTGATAGCCAGCAACTCTTTTCCCCAGATAGTATAGTTGCGCTCGGAAGGAGTGAGTTTCCAAAAACAGTAAGCGCAGGGAAAAAGAGGGGCACCATCCACTGGGGCTTGCAACAACACAGCTCCAATAGCCACGTTGGACGCATCCGTCTCCACCACAAATGGACAATGTGGATCAGGATGCCTCAGGATAGGTTCTGCGACGAAGGCCTTCTTGAGAGCCTCAAAGGCCTGTTGCTGCGGGGGGCCCCACTGGAACGGGACCTTCTTTCTAAGGAGCTGAGTGATGGGATCCGTCAGCTTGGCAAAACCCAGGATGAAGGTCCAATAATAATTAGCGAACCCCAAGAGATGTTGAATGTCTTTCACTCGACGAGGGGGTTCCCAACTACACAAAGCCTCCACCTTACGCGGGTCCATGGCAATGCCTTCGGGAGAGATGATGTGCCCCAAGAACTCTATGGAAATCTGGAAAAAGAGGCATTTCTCCAGCTTCACATAGAGTTGATGCTCCTGAAGATGTTGCAATACCTGATGAACTTGTTGAATATGGTTGTCCCTGGACCTGGAATAAATAAAAATGTCATCCAGGTACACCACCACAAATCGATCGAGCATGTCCTGGAACACGTCGTTCATCTGGTGCTGGAAGACCGCGGGGACGTTGGTCAACCCGAACGGCATCACGGTGTATTCAAAATGGCTGTATTGGGTGCCAAATGGCGTCTTCCATTCGTCCCCCTCTCGCATCCGCACCAGGTTGTAGGCCCCTCGAAGATCGAGCTTGGTGAAGACAGTAGTCTCCTGTAACTGCTCCATCAACTCTCTAATGAGCGGCAAGGGATAACTATTTCACATCGTAATGGCGTTCAACCGGTGGTAGTCACAACACAAGTGCAAGTCCCCCGTCTTCTTTTTAATGAAAAGAACGGGAGCAGAAAGAGGGGATGATGACGGCCAGATAAACCCCCGGGCCAAATTCTTTTCCAAGAAATCATGAAGGGCGGCCAATTCGGGCTCAGACATAGAATACAGGCGTCCCTTGGGTAGTGGGGCATCGGGCAGAAGGTCCACGGGACAGTCATAGGGTCGATGAGGGGGTAACTGATCCGCCTCCTTCTCACTAAAGACATCAGAAAAATCGGAGAGTTCAGGAGGTATGGAGACGGCGGGGGCGGCGATGTCCTGGCCAGCACAGGTGTGTCGTAAATGGTCCACGCACTGGAGACTCGGGAACGAAATGGCATTCTGTGCCCAAGCCACCAGAGGATCGTGTAACCGTAGCCAGGCCATACCAAGGACCAAGGGGAGATGGAGGTCCACAGTGATGTAAAAACTAATTGCCTCCTCATGGTCCCCAATAACCAGGCGCAATGGCTGGGTAGCGAAATGAATGGGCCCAGCACAAAGCTCCCGCCCATCAATCGTTTCCACCTTGATTGGAGGCTTCACCGCAACCAAAGGGA